AATGCACCTCCACCCCAGCTTGCAACATTTCTACCATGTCTTTCATAGATACTCTTCTGTTTTATAAATACTCTCTAGGCAAGATCAGGCGTTTCTATCCACGTGGAGGAAACAATTCTCCTTCTTCCCGTGATGAACCTGTGATTCCGAAGATTAGAAGAACTGAGAAAGTTTTGTATTTATGTGGATAATAAGGATATCCAGTTATAACAAGCCAAAGAAGTAAAAATTATGAATTATTTTAAAATTCCAGTGTTTTACATTTTTGCCAGCATTCATCAGGAGAGGAAGACACCTATGGACATGGATGGGCTGCCTCAGCAGGCCAGTTCCTGCCCTCCTGGCTTCTTGCTGACCTGAAGATAATACCAGTAACCAGACAGCCAACGCTCAACTTAAAAGATCAGACCAAGAGTGAAGGAGTGAAGGAGGTGAAGAAGGAGTTAAGCAAGCAGGAGATATGGAGAGCTGGGAGTCACAAAACAGATCTTCCTGGCTGTAATTGCTCCCAAGGAATTGGCAAGAAAAAAATCGAAAGGCTGGAGTATCAGTCTGCCTCATTACTGCCTTCAGCCTCCGTGGCTTGAATCTAAGTTAATTAAAAAGGATCCAAGCTCTGCTTCTTAGGCGTTGTAATATCTTCAAATCACTCAATGCCAGGCAACGGCTAAACCCACATACAACTTTAAGAATCAACAATAAAATTGAAAAACGGAGTATTCTCCCGCAGGGTGTCAGAAGAATACGGAGCATTTAGCTTTCTGCATGTGGAGAATCCAAGCAATCCCCGGCCACAATTAGCACTTTCCCACTCCCCCGTTTTGCCCCTCCAAGAAAGCTGTGGCCTGATGGGGAGCTTCCCCCCAGGCCACGTGGCACTCGGCAGGGTCGCTAATAAAGGAGCTCCAGCCCCCTGCCCAGGCCTGGGAACGTCTCATTAAACTTTCATCTACTTCATTTATGGAGCAACGTAGTAGAAAAGCAAAATATTGAAAGGTGATTTTTCTGTGCACCCACCAATCAACAGTGCATTCGCCTAAGTATTTGAATAGATGGATAGTGAATACAGATCATGAGTTTCTGTTGTTAGAAAGCTTCCAGGAAGACAAAGCAATGCAAAAAAAAAATGAACAGATCTAGCTATTTTGCAGCCACATCCTGTTTTTCTAAGTTCTATGGTCATTTCTGAACAATATACTGAAATAAGCTCTTGGGCATGCATACATGCATGTGGGAACATGCACACACATGTATACAGAGAAGATGCACATTATTTCCTACCACTGGACTTACAGATTTAACAGACCACATTTTATGCAAATCCACAACATCGCTCGTACAAAAAAATTCCCCGTTAGATGCATGTTGCCCTTCTCTCTGGCGCCACCATCTAGATCTTTAAGGTTGTTTATGATGCATGTTTGAGACTAGGCAGATTTGGATTTGCCACAGCTCCACCTGGTATTTTTCTTCTCCTATTTAGAGGATATTAATTAAGATCAACTGTAGGACGCATCAATATATTAAGCGGGAGAGTGGGAATGTGTTTCAGCTCTGTGCTTCCCTCGAGCTCCTGGGAAACCTCCTGGGCAAGGGGCACATGCGGATGATGGTCAGTAAAGAGCGTTTAGTCCTACTGAGGGCTATTTTGGATAAAAATGGTGTAGACTGTGCTCATATAGTACCTGATTCGACTGCAGCTGTGTGAATTCCTGTTCATCTCAGCAGCTGAGTGAGCTGCAGAAGTCAGGGCAGGCTCTGACCCAGGAGCGTTTTACATTCGGAAGCATGAGAGCTCAATTTAAAATTTGCTCTTAATAATAGTGCCAGAAGAGTGGCAGCCAAACAAATCTCATTTTATGTTTTTCTTTCATCACTAGGTAAAAATGGGAAGGCTGGTTCAAAGCCTGAAGAAGGAGCTGAACATCACAAATCAGCCCGACCTTCCCATCAGCTGCAAGAGCCCATGACAAAATGATACCAGCATTGCTGCAACTTGTGTTCAGCCTGCAATTTTTGGCATTTCAGAGAGCATTCAAAATTAGTTAGGACAGCAAACTGGATTATGTAAGCACCAAAGACAATGAAAAACTTGGGGAAAAAACTGAAAAATCTCGAAGAAACGCATCTCCCTGCAACACAACAGAGTGCCACTGTGGCAACAAGCTGGCGGGCTGAGAACGAGAGCCGAGCACAAGGAGGGCATTTCCACAGGGACTCGCACCGGTTGAACCAGGAAGCCGGCCGTGGGCATCCTCGCGTTCCACGCTGGCTGCTGGCACCGACACCGGCTTTCTGGGCAGCCTTCGCACTACGAATTCCGGTTGGACGTTTTCATGTCATCCTGCCATGCACCTGAATTACAGGTAGGTTGGAAATTAAGTTTTAGATAGTTTTCAGGAACCTGAATGAATTGTACCCGACATCTCACTGGTTTGCAACAGGACCTCGAATACTAAATGCCATTTTTAAGACATTTAGGTACTAACCTAAGTTATTGAAGATTCCCTGAACATCTTATCTTTATTAACTGGAATGCCAAAAACTAAGATTAGAGCATACTACAGTACATACGAGTAACTGCAAATAATAACTAGGTGTTTTGATCTTTCAAAATTTATCTGTTTTCCATACCAAAACCTAAATACTTATGAAATACAAACAGAGCAAAGGGGGAAAATATATAATTACTATAATCCCAATAATTAATTAAAAGTGGTATTTACTCACTTTATTATAATCTAGTTGTTTTAATTTTTCTGGTGGAGATCACATGGATTTCTAAATATACTTTTCCAGCTTTTTCTCCAAGTGGGACATTTTTCAAGGCATTAAAAAAGAAAAACAATGTCTGGGATTAGATAAAGCCGTTCTGTATTATTTATATGGTCTATTACCAATGCGCATTCACACTCATACTTCCTTCAAAAGAGTTGTTTTACAATATATTTTTCTAGTTGCTCCAATTTCACCCATGATCCCTAAATAATTTGAAGACACAGAATCCCATCTAAAATATCTAACTTTTATGAGCCAATTTGTTGACATACTGGCAGAAGCCAGGGCAATCAAGGTGCATTATTTAAGATAGATGTCCTTCGGTTTTCCTGGAAGATGGCTCCAGGCACAGTGCCACACAGATTGCTTTAAAGATGTAGTACTTTGGTGGGCAAACTAGAGGGGCTTTAGGAAAAGTCACAAGATCTGTTGACCTGACACCAACCATAGACACAGGTAATCCTGAAGCATAGATTGTATACAAGGGATTTGGTTATTTTAACTCCATGAAATACTTTATGTTACTCTCTTAGACACATTTGAGACAAAAGTCGCATGTTTTTAAATATCTGATGAGTGGATTAATTTGCTTTTCTCATAAACTGTGTTCAAATGGAATGGGCTGTAAGCAGGGTTTATACATACATAATAGAGAAAACTACTGAGTGCAAAAGTGACTGCATTTTGACTATAATATCATTGTGTTTAGGAAGATTGTGTCTTCCTAAATTACCATTGTGTCATTAGGAAGATAGCTGTTGTACTTTAAAAGCTTAACTTAGAATAAAATAATTTTGTTTTCACTTTAACTAAGTAAACTCTTTCAAAGTGTGAAAAAACACCAGCTGTTTCTGCTGAAAGGGGAAAGTAGCTCTTCTGACACAAAAGTTATGTGAAAATGTCTCTCGCTGCGGCGCAGCTTGAAATCTTGGAGCCCAAGGGCTTCTAATACCTGGCTGGCGTGGACAAGCACAAGCCCTGAGTGGAAGCCCTACTGGAAACGTCGTTCCTGGGCAGCTGGTCCCAGCTGATGGGGTTGATGCCACCCTCTTCGCTCACATCCAGGCTCTGGGCCACCGAGCACGGCCAGTTAGACCTTTCAAATGAACACGCCCAAGCTTGATCTTACTTGTAATGAATCATCCTGAATTCAAGTGGACAGTCGTGGACTAGAGTTATATATTTATATTAACATCCTGTTTTTAGATAAAATGTCCAGGTGAAGCACTGTTACTCTCAAATGGGATTTTTCTTGGATGAAAGGGGGTTAACTTCACACTTCATATCCAAAATTTTCTTGGCACCTGATGATTTCTCCTGCATATTCACCCTTGTTATACGAGTTGTACATCCGTTATCAGCAATAACTTTCCCAGAGAATGACAAGTTTGAGGCCCAGAAGCGTCAGGGTGAAGGAGAAGATTTCCTGTAGAGAATCAGCAAAGTACCAGCAGGGGCAGAGCTAGCCCTGCTGGTTGTTATGGGAGACTTTCCGGCCATGTAGCTAAAAATTAACAGTTGTAAGACCTTAAGCTCTACCCCAAAGACAGTACATGCAAGGAAGTACCAGCAGAGGGACTGACAGATGCTTAATTTCACAGAAGAACAATGATCACCTCTGGATCTGTGTGGACCACGTTTCCTCCCTCTTTGCCCAATGTTACTCCATTTCAAATGATAGTAATAAAAAAAAGACAGCAAGACAGAATGCACTGTATCTGTACACTGGATGCAATTTACATTTGGCTATATATTTATTTTTACAGTTACATATAAACTTGGTGCCTAGTTTTGCTATTATATAATCCTGTTCATCTAATGTTTTTACAGATATACAGGTAAATTTCATTCTCCAGTTGTAGATCATCTCTGTTGTAGTAGACTGAGAATTGTTTATTTTGGAAAAGTAATAACACAGTATCGTAGACAAAAGGGAGGGAAGCAATGTAGCATGCTGTTTACTATTTCACCTGCTTCATTTTTTCAACACATTTATATAGAATTATTTACAGTAAATTCTACAGAAAGTTATATTACCTAGCTGTTCCTTAATTATCATTCTACAAGTTTGAGTGATTAGTAAATACTCAAGAAGATTTACAGAACTAATATTCTGTTAATCATTTGAGAAGCAAAATGGTGCCCACTATATTGTTTTGATAATTATTTGAGAAACCAGTTTTTGACCAGGTATTTTGAGTTGAGATTAGGTCCACACAGATTTACTGCACCTTGCAGTTTTCTTGTTCATGCTGCTCAGGTGGCGTTGTACGTTCAGGGAGTTTTTGGCTTTGGGCACCATGTTGCTCTCGGTGGTGTTACCCTCAGGAATAGTTTTTGTGCAAAGCGGTGATCTTGAAGTAGCCTTCGTTAGTGGAAGAACTGTTCCTCCTTGGGACTGCTGCTCATCAGTTACCTGAAACACAAACAGAAACATCCTGTTGGTTACCTGCTAATGGAAAACCTTGTTAACTTTCTGCAGTAAATCAAAAGACTCACTGCAAAGGACTTAAGTGTTTTGAATTTGCAAAAACATATACAAATTAAAAAAAACAAAGCATTTTGAAGACATTTATCACCCTTGACTATACAGTACAGTGAGACTTTAAATCAGTGTTTTGGGGCACAATAAAATCAAATACATGCTACACAAGTTAAGCTATTTGCTACGAGCAGGAAAAAAGCTAAAGCAGGAGCAGACAGTACTCTGAGTCTGTATTAGGCATTGCATATTGAGATCTGCATTTCATTTTGCCACTTCATAATGGAATGCCCTGTACATATTGTGCAAACATAAAACATAGTTCTCTGTTTTTTCCGACAACTGGACAGACACCAATGCTTTCATATTTTAACTGACATGCAGTCAAAGCACTCAATTTAAATTTGACAGATCACATACTAAAGAGAGTAAATTTGCATATGAAAATGGCAGAGGGCACATTTTAAATATCTTGAAAAAATTTCAGCAGTGTGAAACTGGCTGTCTTAGATGTCATACATATAAGTAGCTGTGAGGAATAAGAAGGTAACAGGGTTATTTCACTTTTAAAATAAGACACACGATATACTATTTTAATACAAAGCATGAAACAACGTGTTCTGATGGCTTCAACAAGCGATGAAGCGACACCATGAAGAGTTTTCCCAAAGACTCTCAGGCGTGCGTCTTCCTGGAATAAAACAGAGCGCCAAACACTGCAGTGCCCAAAGGGAAGGGCCCCCATTCCTGGCACTGAAGACTTCTGCATGTTTACAAGGGGAAAACATAGCCCTGAAACCTTTATTTCTACTATATTCTCCTGTAGCAAATATATTTAGAGGTGAAGATAAGGAGCAGCCTGTCTTTAGGCTGAGACAATACCAGCTTAGGCACAAAAATATTGATTTGGGAAAATCCTCCCCCACTTGTATTAAAAACAATTTATTACTGACTACTCTTTTTTTTGCTGTAACCTTGATTACAGTCACCAAGCGCCCACAATAAGCCTGTACCCTGCTGGCAGATGGTCTCTTAGTAACTTTCTCTGGCTAGGGCTTCCTTTTTCCACTATCGAGTTTCTTTACAAGCGTCACGCTCCCTTTGACTCTAAAGTTACAGCAAATATCCACAAATGTGAGTAAATAAAATTTATAGGCATCACTTAATGAAACAGACCTCCAATCCCTGTAAGAAACTGCAAATTTTGACAAGTTGGGGTAATTAACCCTTGAAACAACATGCACGGACACAGTGGATTCAATCTTACTTTAACTATGCATTTCCTAATGTATCTCAAAAATTATGGGCTGTGATCCAACTGATCACTACATTGTGCTCTCTGGCCTCAGAATGTATAAAGCATGAAACTATGTGGATCAGGTTGACAATCAAGAACATATTTCGTGAGCTAACCCCAAGTATTTCATTAAAAAACAACCAAAACAACAAAAGTGTGTTACTTCATGGCTTCCCTTTGGCTCTACTGGTCACTGAAGGAATGATTTGTGTAACCTGGCAAACTGGCCACCTCGGACAACCTTCATGTAAAGAAGTACCAGTATAAAATAAGCACTCTCAAACTTGGTTAACTTTCAGCAATGTGAATAACAACTCTGGGAAATCTAGGAAATATTTGCATTAGCTTCTTCTGATGTACTGTGAAATATTTAGCAGTCATGCTACTGCGAACACTTGCAGAGTTGAAGTATAGCTTCATAGCTTAAAAGCTTCATTAACCAACCTTCTTGAATAAAAATCAAACTTCAAAACCTAATTCAGCATTATTTATTTATTGTTTATATTTATTTTTTTAAACCCTCAAATTCTGGTAACCATTAATATTAAAAGTCTATGTACCCAATTTAGATGTTCAGCAGTCTCTCAAATATCAGTCATCATTTAGAATCTGGGATTCCAAGAAAAGTTGTTAGTAGAAAACCTTTAGCCTCAACTCAGATTTCCAGAGATTTTCTTTTTTGTTTTTTTTTTACAGTTTTTGAAGCCTAAGAAACTGCAGGATAAAGAATATATGCTCTTAATAATAACTACATACCTTTTAAAATATACCTGTATTGCATTTACTTTCCAAATGGCTTACACTGTGAAGTCACAGATTACATCACAGGAACAACAGCCCTAATGTTTGGTTATTCAGCATTTAGGATCTCCTCTTCACTATATATCTGAGAAATTTAAAGAATAATGATATATCCCCAAACATACTTGGCAAGGTGAATCATACAGCACATTTCTTTATGGTTTTCATACACAGATAATTTTAAGTCACCTTTTGTGATTTGCTGCCACCAGCTGTTGGATGAAAGCACTCACCAAGATAATCTGATTTGGCTTTTTTAACATCTTGTGGAGGTGAAGACAATTTCCTGCTTCGGGAAGGCAGACGAGGATCCGTCCTT